CCCAACCCCTCTTGTGGCATGTGCTGTTTAAAAACTTCAGGGGTCGCCACAGAGTACATTTGTATAGTTACACCTTCCATTAGATACAGGTTTGATTAATATAACCATAACGTGATACTCCTGAGAGTTTCAAAAGATATCAAGGGAATATATAGAGATAGATAGATAGATAGAAAATATTTTATGTGACCCCCACCCATCACATAAATGGCAATAAGCTTCATAACATTTTTCCAGATGCAAATGAGCTAAAAACTAATGCCATGAAATAAGTAGATATTTTTAATCAAGGTAATAATAATTAATAATAATAATAATAATCAAAAGTAAAACCTGAATAAGGATGCATCATGTCTGGTCAACATATCAGGCCGTGAAAGTTCATTATTCTGCAACATCAGTTTGTTAGAAATAAAACAAATAAAGAATTTAACATTTTTCAAAATAATTCAATTTCTCTTCTAAATGCCTTCATCCCAGACATTCAGCACTAGATGGCAGTATATCTACTGATAATGATTTGTGTTATGATTGTATACACATGTACAGGGTGTTCACACCTTCCAAACCTTGAAGGTGTTACACATAATAACAGGCCACATATGTCCTAAATTCATTACAAATTGTAAACATGTCTTTTCTGCACCCAGATTAATTACACTTTGATGAGGAAATACCCCAACATATAGTGATTTTTGATCTGTTCGTTACCGACCTACAGGTGAGTCATGCGTTGACTGTAATATGCATGTTGGTACATTTACAGTTACACAGCTGTTATAGCCACTTCCTGTTGCACACATGCACACAAAGAGGAAACACCTCTCAATAAAATAGGTCTAGCACCTTCCCTTTAGAGACATAGAAAGGTTAAAAGTCAAAGTGTAGCACAGGTCATCCTATTCAAAAGCGTTTTCTCCTTCTCCTGGCCATATGTGTTTATATATATTAGTGTGTGACTGTCTGTCTTTTAATAAGAGTGTTAAAAGAGGAATTCCAAGTTTTTATGACCTTAAAACTCAATAAACTTTACACACACTTCAAAACAAGACACACACACACACACAGTGAAGAGGTTTAGGTAAAACCTGATGAGGATGTTTTATCTTTGTATTTGAATGTGACTGTATGAGAGTGTGTGATTATTTGTAGATTCTAGATGGATTTGATTGTGAAATTTCATGCGTGTGTTTGCATGTGCATATAGATATATAGGTACAAGTGTGTGTTAGGGGGTGGGTGTACTGGTGCATGTCAGACAGCAAAGAGCCGCAGTTATCTAGGAATCTGAGCCAAAAGAGCCTCACAAACAGAAGAGAGTGTGCAGGAGAGCGAGAGGGAGGGATAGAGAAGATCAAATAAAAGAGAAAAACAGGAGAGGAGACTCTGACGAGCTCATAGTGAGAAAGAAATACAATGTGTAGGACTCGATAGACTGCAGATGATACTGATCTGAACACAGGAGTGTGGCTAGAGAACATCCTATTGAAGATAAGTAGTATAAAGTAGATACCGGTAGAGTAGAGAGAGAATAGACAGGGAACAGGTGCATAATATCTCTTTGGACTCGTGTTACGGCCTGAGCAGCATGTGTGTGCGGGTTGTGCCCTTGCTTTTGCTAGGAGCATACATGATGTGTGTCTGTGTGCTGTGTCAGAGGGACATCCTGGTGGCCGGGCCACCCAACGGCAGATGTGAGGGGAGCTGCAGTGCAACAGCATCACCCCCTAAAATACATCACCCTCACTCTCAGGACTCGCAAATTAGAAAGACTCCAGTGAACCGCAAAACCACACAGGTAAGCATTACCTAAACATGATCCTTGGTGACAGATCTGAGAGTGTATTACTGGGCACAAATATCTTTAAGTAACATTTTAACAGATTCAACTTTTAAAATTTTTTAGAACGATTTTAAACATGTATTAGTAAACGTTTACATTACCATTAAGATTAATAAATGCTGTAGAAGGATTATTCATTTTTACTTAATTTTAATTTATATACATTCCTGTCTTCATTATTTGCCTGTTGAATAATAATTAATACTGGTTAAATTCAATAGCACACATCCTTAAATATTTCGCATTTAAGACAGCTATATAAGTACAAAAGTACATACTAAGTACTAAGTAGTCATATAATTTATGGGGTTTCTTGAAGCAAATATGTTAATTATGAAGCATATATTTTTTAAATTATGGTTATGCAAGTGTGTCAGAGTGCTGGGCCATTACAACTTTTTAGTCACCTTGTTTTTTTTTACCGAGAATAAAATGAATGAATGAATGAATGCATCAGTGTCATTTTTATAAGAAAATATTTAATGAAATGGAAAAAAATATATAATGAATAAACATGAACAAAATTAACAACTACTGACGCTAAGTTAAAGTGTTAGAATATGGAGAATCTGTATACAATGTAAAATATGGTGATTGAGATGCAAGATGCATGTTCTTTGTGTTTTTATGTCGGTGTATGTTTATATGTGTCCTGCAGGTGTCTGATACATCTGAACGTCTCATCCAGCTTCAGCGCTGTATGCTGCAACATGAATCAGTGGTTGTGAGTCAGGGAGACGGCTCTGACTCACTGGTAGCCTTTCTGGCTCTCATGGCAGCAGTGCTGACAGAATGTGACCTCCACTGCCATAGTCAGAGACTCAGAGAGATGGCCACCAGACTCGGTCATTACATTCCACAACATATAACTCTTACATTTCCTTCTTAAATAAAACGACATGCCTAGATAAAGCATATTAATGTGTGATTCCAATGTGTTAACAGACTAACTACGCTTGCCCTTCATAATTTATTGATTCTTTCATTCCTGCTGTTCTCTCAATTAAGTTAACACCTAATTTACACTCAGCAAACAGTGGTGTTCTTAGGAATGCAAGAAAACTGACCCTTGACAGCCCCAATCTGACCCTCTCATTACCTTTCTCTAACCTTTGTATAACCTCACAACAAACTCTAACCATCCTGAAATAGTCAACTAGCAAATAATCAAACAAATAATAATTTATTAATAAAAACACTCTAAAAATGTAAATGTAAAAATGTTTTGCATCAGATACATTCTCTTTGCTATGTTTTATCTGTTTTTATCATATTGCTTTGTATTTGACAGGGAATCACAGGGAGTTTTCAATCGTAAATCGTTTCTTTTTATGTCCTACAGGGGCGTTATATTCATTTGGGAATATTAGCAATAGTCATTATAATTGTGTTTTTATAGGATGGTTTGTGTTAGAATTCTGTAAGAACATTTCCGTTCTCATTTATTTGGATTGGTTCCAAATCATGATAGGAAATCTTAACAGGAATCCTGTAGAAAATAATGCATTCCTTTATAATTTTTTGACTAAGGGACTTTCTCTTTCGGTCATAGAACGTGTGGTGGGCAAAAATGGGGAGAAAGACTTGCTGCTGTTGCTGAAGAGTATCACAGATTCTAAACCTAATGGCCTCAAACCAAGGACTCCTACAGGTGAGCCACACACACACACACACACACAAAACAAATACCCCACGCAGTCCAGCATACTACTAGGATATTTATTGCACAAATTGTTCACAGATGTTTTGTTTGGGTCTATACGGCAGTGCCTCCCTCTGCAGGGCTTTACCCTCAAGACTGTCATGAGATCTACCAATTAGGAATCAAAGAGAATGGAATCTACACCATACAACCTGATCCAAAGTGGCCAGCGCTAGAGGTACAAACATTAAATGCACAGAAAGTGTACAAGTGTACTATTGTTTTAAAAGCTGGAACCAAACAAACATTCCTGTATATAAAACAGTAGATCATCATCCCAGGGAATGCATCAACTGATAAATAGTATAAATGGCATAAACTGTCTGCCAAATGCATAAATGTAAATGTTGTGAAGTACATTCCACTTGGATTGATATTTTGCAACCTAATACACGTCCAGTGTGACTTAAAGGGATAGTTCACTCAAAAATTAAAAGATGAGATCCAAAGAAGCCAGCGCTAGAGGTACAAACATTAAATGCACAGAAAGTGTACAAGTGTACTATTGTTTTAAAAGCTGGAACCAAACAAACATTCCTGTATATAAAACAGTAGATCATCATCCCAGGGAATGCATCAACTGATAAATAGTATAAATGGCATAAACTGTCTGCCAAATGCATAAATGTAAATGTTGTGAAGTACATTCCACTTGGATTTATATTTTGCAACCTAATACACGTCCAGTGTGACTTAAAGGGATAGTTCACTCAAAAATTAAAAGATGATTTTGAAGATCACTGGTTTGATCACCCGGCATCATCAAAGGGTGATTATCGTCAACTAAAACTATTGAAATATAACTACTGAAATAAAATAAAAACTCAATTCTCAGTTCAGTTCTAATTTCTGTTTAGTTTAAGTTGAAGCACTAAAATTACTAACTGGAAACTAAGACTAAAACTGAAATAAAAATATATTACACCTAAATAGTAATGTAAAAAAAAGAAATAAATTACAAAAGCACAAACAAAATTACTAAAAACATTAACTAAAATTAAATGAAAACTGAAAGTAGGAAAATAAAAGCTATAAAGCCAATTCAAAGTACTAATAAAAACTATAATAGCATATAAATTAAAACATTTTTAAGCTATTTTGTGCTCCAAAAAACACAAGCATGCAGATTGGGAGGATGAGTAAATGATGACAGAATTTTTTAAAAGTTCAGATAGTTTTGGAGGCAACTCTGAGCCTATATGTGTGTTTTCTTTATGACTTGTCCATTCCAGGCCGTGTGTGACATGGTTTCAAATAGCTAAAATAACACCGTGTCCGATTGGAATCCATTGACATGCATTGGATGGACAAATTAACCCCACGGAAACATTTTTAAGCTATTTTGTGCTCCAAAAAACACAAGCATGCAGATTGGGAGGATGAGTAAATGATGACAGAATTTTTAAAAAATTCAGATAGTTTTGGAGGCAACTCTGAGCCTATATGTGTGTTTTCTTTATGACTTGTCCATTCCAGGCCGTGTGTGACATGGTTTCAGCTGGTGGGGGATGGACGGTGTTCCAGCGCCGGTTTGATGGACAAACTGACTTTAACCGAACCTGGCAGGAGTACCGTGATGGATTCGGCTCCCTGCAGACAGAGCACTGGTTAGGGAATGCAGTTCTTTACGCACTAACCGCAAGTGGGCATCACACGCTCCGCATCACTCTCCAAGACTGGCACGACCAGACACGTCATGCTAACTATAACAACTTTAAAGTGGCAGGAGAAAACCAGAGGTATATGCACACATAGACATACTAGTTTCTATTGAAAGACTGGTGTCAAAGCAGAGTTTAAACAAACCATGAAATAGTTCAGTTTCTCATCATGACGCATGTATGTTCTTCTCTCCATAAGGTTCCGTTTAACTGCTCGAGATTATCATGGCGATGCTGGCAATGCATTCAGTTACAGCAAACAGTACAATCACGATGGCCGAGCTTTCAGTACATATGACCAGGATCATGATCGCTACGCTGCTGGTAACTGTGCCCGTTATTATGGTGCAGGCTGGTGGTTTGATTCCTGTTTGGCTGCTAACCTCAATGGACGCTACTATCACGGGCGTTACAGTGGCATCACGGATGGCATCTACTGGGGCACCTGGTATATCCTGACTGACTATCGCACAGGGGAACGATACTCATTCAAGAGTGTTGAAATGAAAACTAGACCAAGGCAGAGCTAAGGAAAATGTTGATATGTAATCATACTCTTGCACTACATATTTCATTTAAATAATGGCTTGTAATTACATAACCCGGACCTGCCATTATATTGAACTTGAGATTTTTAGAGAACTGTATGATATGAGAACACATTTATTTTTGAAAAAATGTCAAATGTAATTTTAAGAAAACTCTTTTACTCAGTGTACATTATCGATTTTCAGTTACAGTTTTTTGAGACGCAAATAAACTATCAAACGCTATTCGTGTTGCAAATACAGGAATTTATTTTTTTCTTTATTCGAAGTCAAAAATCTATTTTTATTGATCTTGCTGTGATCAATTCATATGTGCATATGTTTCTTTTCTTAATCTCGTAATTCTTAATTAAAATGTTCTGAAAATGACTCAAAATGTTCAAAACAACTGAATCTTTTAGTGAAATGACAGGTGACATATGCGATCATTCTCCAATCATTTAGTCTGCTTAAATCCCACCCCTTTCTTATAATTGACTGCAAGCTCTGCATCAGCCAATATGCCTCCATCCAATCAACAACTTGTGAATAGAACCAAGACACTGCCTTACATTTTTCCTTTTTTGATAATCCGTTTTCTCGAGTATGTCATAATACAGAAAAACGATCTGTTGCTACTTTCTTTTATTGTTAAGTTTATTAAACAACTCTATAGAATACTTACCCCATTTTTTTCTGTTGACAAACCTATATAATGACCAATATTCTATATACTGTGCAAATTTTAAGCCTTCACTTTAGGGTCCTGATCACCCCATCAGTGTTTCTTCTGCGAAAATGACTGGCTGACTGCATTTTATACTCGTAGCTAAAATCATTCATAATGCAGAAAGGTCAAAGTTCAACAGGTCTAAGGTGGCCCTTGTGGTTGTGCTGCACTTACAGTGAAATAAAATCCAAAATTATGCATAGAAAAGTTCTCACTCATCATCTGAAATAAACATAAATTTGGTATCAAAAAATAGGTATCATTTGGCTGATCGAAGGCCTTGATTTATGCTCAGCTCATTTCTTCCCATACACTTTCTCTGTTCAGTCTCCAGGTGAACGACTGCCATACCAAAACTATCCTGCCACTGACACATTCTCAAAAGCCATAAATCCTTATCACATCTTTGACTATAAAGGATAACAGTAAACTGTGGACGGATTGGGTTTGGGGTGAAAAAAGCAAAGTTTCTTGTAAGCCACTGCGGTCAGAGTGTTGAGATTTCAGTGCGATGGCATCATAGGTTACAAAATGTACACAAACAAACTCACATACACATGGCATTAATAACCAAGATGGACCTCTGATCCCTGAAAGACAGAAAGTGTGTGTGTTATAGAGGGTGAACAGTGGGAGTGTGAATCTGTTGAATCTGCTCCTTTTAGCCGTATTCACAAAGAGCTGCCAGTCTGTTCAACACGTTCTCAGTATCTATTAATACTCTTTTGCCTATGATCTGCGGACTACCAACCAGATATGATATTTCACATACACATTCAAACACACAGTCATGCCGCAGCACAATGCAGTTTAAAGACTGTTTTCATCCATACAGTTGGATGAGTTTTGTCAGGCCTGTGACTACAGCACACAGAGAACATGGGACATCAGAAAATTATTCTGCACAGGAGTTTAGGGATATTTTTGCTCACAACAGTCTGTCTGTATCTTATACGTAGAAATACAGCTTTATATTGACATATTTTTAAGTATGTACAGACCATGAGGAATTGATGCTCACCCACAAATGCGGATGGCATTGGTACAGGCCTCTTATTTGTGGACATTCAGTCCATCATATGTCATCCGGTTTGTTTGGCTGGCGAATGAATCAAGTTGATCAAAATCAGAACAAATAAACATAGTTACTCTCAATGAAGGCTTCTCTCTTCTCATTTGCACCATCAAGATCACTATGGTGAAGCAGAAGCCAGCTCGGCTGTTACCACAGTATCCTGGCTGAGTGCCTGGCTGGTATGATAAGGAGATAAAAGGAGTGATGGGGAGAGAGATAAAGGGAGAGGGAGAGGGGGAACTAACAGTCTGCAGGCACACAGTCCGGAAACCCAAAGCGGGCAACAGTTACCCAGCACATCCCCTTAAAGCTGAAAACACTCATGCACGCATACACTTACTCTCTTACCACACATTTTTGCATACTGCACATAGTGGAGAAAAGCTTGTGTGCGTTTGTCCCCAAGGAACTTTCAACATCTAGATATTTGTTTCAGAAGCAGACCTTGTTAAAGTTGAAAAGCCACTTAATGTGATGTAATCATTGATATATTGTATTTTCATCATCTAAATAAGATGACACATCTGTATTTGTCATTATTCATGCTAATCAGGCAGGTTAATTGGAAAACAGGCCTGACGTAACCAGGAGGCTGTGTGTTGAGCATGTTGTCTCGGTTCAATGGAAGCGCTATGGTTCAGAAAGGCGAAAATGGCCAGAAGATGGCAGCTTTGAGTTAAAAATTACTGAAAATCTGATCACCAGCCTTTTGGTTTGATTGAAGCATGCTAAAGGTGCTCAGTGACGTCTCAGTAGAAGTCCATTATAACTAAACATAATGGGAACAACTGCTGATTATCACCTAATCCAAATATGAATAAAAATATAGCCTGAAATCCAAGAGTCGAGTTGCTCTTGTCCCCATCGCTTTTTTTTTTTAGCTTACTCTTTTCTTTCATATTAATTTTGTCCTACTGCCATGCACTTACACAACCAAAACACACTAATACATTTAATACGGCACTACACTAATACATAGCAGTGACTTTGCTTGTGATCTTGTGAACTGTCACTTTTAAATTTTTAGAAATCTAATTTAACCAGAGAGACCTATTTTCATGCTGATTTAAAGGTATAAACATTCATTTGAATGTCAGAATAAAGTTGTATTGTGACATCAGTTTTGAAATATCTAATAACTTGCTCTTGAGCACATGATATGAACAGGAAACTCCATGCTAGGGCTTCCCAACTATGAATAAAAAGATGCTGGAATCTAGCTTTGGCTAATTCACCTTCATTGGGCCTTTAAGGCGAACTACTAACTTACTAGCATCACAAAATACACCTGACTCCATCTCTAAAAGATTTTATACAGGCATACATTCTTAGCATATTCACAATTAATAATTTAAGATCGAAGTACGCTAATTTTGAAAGTATCCTGGCTGAAATCTGAAGCATCAGCTCTAATATGTGTGTGATGTTGCTCTGGTAGTTTTCTGCACAGAGTGGATTAAAGAATATAAAGTTTGTTTGTGTGTGACATTAAATTAATTGGTTGCTTTGCACTTAATGAATGTTACACGTGAGTAAAGGCAAGTGTCCGTTACAGCACCTGTCCATCTGTCTGAAGAGGGATGTGCATGTGTATGACACAGATTGCGGTGCACCAGCGCTCCGTTTCATACCGGAATTCAGCCAGCAGCCCTGTATCCTGATGTGGTGAAAACCAGGCCTGCAAGGCATTCTGGGTATGGGAGGGGGAGAGGGTTATTCACACTACAACATCTTCACACACATTCACTATCATTCACAAACAGATGCACAAAATGTACACACACACACACACACACACACACACACTAAAGTCCATATGAAATATCCACATTATCCAATTCAGGACAAAAGTATGGTTTCAGATATCATTAATTTCACAATCTTGTCAAAAAAGTAAATATCATAATGAAAAAATGCATCCATTTCATAATTAAAGTCCTTAAATAACTGTAATCTGATTATATATGTGTAAATCTGTATATTATTTCTTTACAGAATAAAAAGTATAAACAATTGCAGATGTGATTTGTAAAACAAAAACAAAAAAATTGACATAAATGGTCCGGCCTTAAAAAACCAAAACACTCAATCTCAGTGAAAGTAAAATCAAGGTAATGACTGTTATGACTGTGGATATATTGTGGGCAGTTTAATATTCCTTTCTGGTCTTTTGCCTGAGAAAGGGAAAAGATGACTGACAGATTGTTACTGCAGTATGCTGTTAATACTGCCTTCCTGATACTCTTTTGCAGAGGAAATGAACAGGCAATTAAGGGATCACGGGGCTGCATTGTTTAGCTTACATTGTCAAGTGGAGAGAGAGAAAGTGAGAGTGAGAGGAGGGCAGTGAGAATAAGAGCGAGTTCCAGGTTAAAATGTTCATCATACAGGTTTTATGAAATCTTAAGATTTGTTCAAACTGCTCCATCAGATGCAGAAGGAACACAACAAAAGATTGCACAATGGATCACTTGGTCATCCTAGTGAGCTGACTCCATAATATATACATGTACTGGAAATAATTCAGTGCTGCTCTTTACCCTCTTGAGCCTTTTGATTACTTAAAATCTGAAGCATGAGGAAGGATTGTTTTCTTTACAGAAACCAAAACCAAACCAAAGTTGACCAAAGTCATTTTAATCTTTAATCACATACATAACAAATATATAGCACACCACTTCATTTACAGATCGATTTATGTCAAATTTACGTGCCAAATGACTGCAGTTGTCCAATTTTGAATGGCAATAACGACAAGCGCTTTGAAGGAATGTCATCTCTCTCTCTCATTCACCCTGCCTGACTCACTTTCCCTCTCTCTCTCATCAAAGTGATGGAAAGATCTTATGAGAGATCTTAGGTGGTCAGCGGTTTCGTGTTGTCATTGACCGCGCACGAGACGCATCTGCCGAGACAGACAATACGCGCGCACTGGCCAGAAACTTATTCCCTGAATTATTAAAGATCAGGAGAAGTCGATGGAGGACGTTGCATTGCATTGCTTCGTAGAGGGGAAAAAAGAATACTCACCTCACCTGTAGCATGCGCAGGTTTCTCCAGGCGCTACATCAGTTTCAATGGCAACCCAATGCGGTCTGTATTATTTGATATATAGTTTTCAGAGAATTAATATAAATGTAGGACTACATATAAATTTTATACTAATACTATAAATGTGTACAAATTATTTGTTTTTTTTCTTAATGTAAACTTTAAGTGTTACCAATTAGTGACTTATCCATTCGCGCGAAGCTACAGGATGCTGCTGTGTGAAATGTACAACTACTAGCAGCGCAGACCTGCAGCGAAACGAATGGATAAAGAGACGCGTGGGGTAAATTGGAGTTTCAGGTGTCAAGCTGGAAAAAAGGCGAACTCTAATTGGCTAGAAAATCATTTATGCTGAAGGGAGGAGTCCTGTCTCATATACAACTCTTTTACACACTGATTTTTGACTAGTCGCTAGTGTGACTACCTGTGGCGATCATCCTTATCCTCACAGGCACGAGTAGGTACTTTTTGAGCCGTAGGCACGTTATGGAGTGACGAGATAAGAAGGTCGGTTACTCTTCTTGGACTATTTTTTCAAACTCTGCTTTTCTTCCAACGCACAGGATTTGGTTTCGAACATTATCTGAGGATCTACCTCAGTGCACACCAACACACATAGCTGGGGTAATCAGCTGTGGTGGCATTTTTGTGATCTTTGCACGCGCGACATACGCGCAAACTCCTGACTTAATAGGCTATTTATATAGTCATTTAGGCTTACGCACTCATATGCGTACTTAATCATTTAGGCTTATATTCAAGACATTCAAGAAAACAACACTTTGGAAAAACATACTCGCTGGATGAACTTGGAATAACTTTTCAAAAAAAGGTTAAGTTTGTTTTTTCACCGCTCACGTAAACTTGCATCCCTGTCCTACGGGAGAGCAGATGATGGAGCTCCCTGCGGAGCCCCGGTGGATGATGCATGCCCATCATTCAGCCTTAATGGGTACCTCAGACTCGGTGTCTCCGCACGCTGGTTTAGGACATCATTCGGGATATATGGAGACAGGTGCCCCATTATTACCACCAGACGAGGTGGATGTATTTCTCAGTCATTTGGACTCTCAAGGAAACCCCTATTATCACTCACACGGGTCCCACTCTCATACTCGTGCACGAATGTCTTACAGTCAAACGCATGGTGAGTGGGCCTGGAGTTCTGTCATTTTTTTCTTAATTACAATTATTAGTTTTTTATTGTCAGTGTAACAGCACAATTTTGAGATCGAAGGATATGCTTTTTTTACTGCATCACTTTTTTTCTTTCTTTTTTTTCTAATCGGATCCATGCTTTATCTGCTTCTATCACGCTTTCATATAGTATTCCAACAGAAAATTACTTTTGTTATTATTATTAAATAATGGTATGGTAGTGTAGGCTAATTCTGTGATATCAGTTTCAATGAACACAAGCTCCAATTCAGTTTGACGACTCTTAATAAACTGGATTGGAGTATTAAGTAGGCTATATTAAGTAGCCTAAGTGTATTTACAAATGTCACAAATTAAATATACGATTATTATTTTAATATTGTACATTTAAATGTGTTATATAATATCATATTAATAGACCGTATTAGATTAGGCTATATTAATGTCTGTTTTAACGAATGTATACATTTAGCCTAAGTATAGTAGGCCTATTTAAGAAACAAAAACCATGACACGCGTTTTGAATCAAATTCGTTTCGCGGAAATTAAAATAACATCTGACAAAGAAGAAAATAATTATAATGGTTTCAAATAGGCTATTTTGAGATATTAATTCTAATTCCAATTGATAGTAATCGGTTCGCTTTTCCAATCTGGCCTCCCACAACAAGTTTTAATTTGTCAATCACTTTTGATAGTTGCGATTTAAAACATTTTCGAGTTTCCTCATTTGGATTGCGTAATACCTACTTTTTAACTAGTGTTTTTTGCAGTGTGGTTAAACGTGGATAAAAATTTGAATCGAATTGACTTTTAACTATCTACGTGTATATATTTTTCCTCTCCTTTTGGCAGCACGGTTTACGGGTGGCTCAATGTGTCGACCTCACCTTATCCACACTCAAGGTCTCTCTATACTGGACAACAACAAATCGACTTTTTCGGCGGCGCAGCACCACAGCACATGGACCGTCAGCCACCTGGGCAAAGCGGTTCTGCATTCAGCAGGCGCCGACAACGCAAACACCCTGTACACCGGCACCGGTACGCCTGGCCCGGCTTCGATGCCTTGCCTGTCAATGACTCAACACTGCAGCCCTCAGCTCTACTGCCTGCCCCCTACTCCACCCAAAGATGCGTCCCCCGACCCTGCTTGTACTTCTGTGAGGGACACTGGGAAGTACCATCTCCATCTTGTCGACGGGATGAAGATGGAGTGCTCCAGTCCAATCCGTGGCAATCTGGCACAAACTACAACTATACCTTCATATTCCGATTACGCTCTATCTGGAGCGCACGAGTACCCAAGCAGTGTGTTTTACTCCAGAGGTCTGCTCGGGAGCAGCGCGAGCAACATGACGTCAAAATGCAAAAGCAAAAGCCGCGCTTTCTCAGGTAAAGTTCAGAGTTCATAGTTCAAATTAACAGTGGAATTTACAAGAGATTAATTGTCTAACTTTAAACATACGGTAAATGATCCAAACATAGTGTTAATGTAATAGTATAATTTCAGTACCTAATGAACGTTCTATTTTATAATAATTTTATGGAGCAGTATATGCTTTGGTATTGCTATATAAATTATAAATACATGGACACTGTAATGTGTTGCCATAACTTTGTTGCAGTAGGCACAGTTTGTGCATCTGGATTGAAATAAAGGAAAATGCACTTTATTACAATAATAGCTAAATACAATATATACAATATTAATATCTAAAAATATTCTGTAGAAGTAATCTGACCATATAGATTACAGATTATTTTTATATTTATATTTAATAACATGTATGCAGAACCCATTTTAATTAGTTTTATTTCTGCTTTTTGACACAGTAGTAATAATTCGACTAAAAACATAATTTGCATTATTAGTATTTTTTTTATTTAGAATGGCATAAATAATAACAATAATTATACAAGTACTGTGCTGTGTTATTTAGGGCCCAAAAGTATAAAAGTTTGAATATCTGTAAAACAAATATCAAATTGGTTATCTATCTCTACATATAATAAATAATGTAGGCATGAATAAGTTGTTTATGTTTTTTTTATTTCCTCTCTCCTCATTTTGTTCATCTCTTTTGTGCATAATTTGTGCCTGAAGGGCGTGAATGTGTGAACTGTGGAGCTACATCAACTCCTCTGTGGCGGAGAGATGGAACAGGTCATTATCTCTGTAATGCATGTGGACTCTATCACAAGATGAACGGCCAGAACCGACCACTCATCAGACCTAAGCGCCGACTGGTAAGTGCCACACACATACACACCTTCACATAAACACAGTTCAAGTTTGAGTTTAGAATCTTTCTGTATAATGAAGAAATGATTTTTTAAGTCATTGCCTAAATGTTAGCGAAAAATAAAACAGCTGATGTATGTGGAACTCTAGACAGTATTAACACTTCAGGAAAAACTGTCATATGTTGTAGTGTTTCATTTTCTGTAATATTGTGCCCATGTAATGCACTGCAGAGAATGTGTACAGACAAAGTGAGAAGGAGAGAAAAGGAGTGAAAGGCATTAGTCTCTGTGTGTGTAATGGACCACTGAGTTTCCATGGCCCTATTGACAGGTTTAAATAGCAAGTAATGAATTAGAATTCAGTGTAAATTTGACCAGAAATCAGATACTTGTTGTATTCCTGGCAGGCCTATCATTTTACCTTATTTTGTGTATTCCATGCTTGTAATGTTATAAATTCCTGTCCACCAAATATATGTGTATGCTGAAGAATTTCATGATTTTAAATATAAGCTGAAAAATGTCACTGTTCGACTGAATTTCACATTCATGAAAGTCCAGTGTAATTGTTAAGCACAGAGCAGCTGCAGAACTACCGTCACTGAAGGGAAACGTAATAAATCAGCTTGAAAGCTTGACTGCATCTGTGTATTTTGTGTGACCCTCCATTTAGAGCGTATTAGCTGTAAATTAGGCTGACTAGCTTCATGTCTTATTCTTTAGTGAGTGTGTGACGAGTGCTTCTGCATCAGCTACAGGTCGTATATTTGAAGAGTGCCTGCAGAACATTTGTTTCCTTGGCAGGATGTCTGCCCGGTACCGATAACTTTGTGAGACCCAAAACCGCTTCCTTTTGCAGTTGTTTTCTTTTGGCATGTTGAGAATCTACGATTTCTGTATAGTTATGTGAATTTATGGCATTTAAGGTTGTACTTCTGTTTGACATGAGAGTCTGAGAGTCAAGTTAAAGTTAAGATTCTGAAGTCAGCATCATCCTGTTTCTTTATTCATTTCTTTATTCCTTAATTAAGTTGGCTGTTTTTCTTTATCATTTTAGTATGTTTTAGTAGTATTTTCTTGCCTATTAAAATAATTAATTAAAAATAATATTTTTATAATACTTAAGCAATACACATATACTCTTCTCTTACTTTATAAGACAAAGCTCCATTCAGTTTGTGAGTGTTGAGAAAAGAATATTGTAAAGACAGACCAGTATATATCTTAAGATGCCATTGTATTGGTTTGTCAGTTGTGTCAGTAATATTAATGTAATGTTGTCACAATTATAAAGGAACATTTTCTGTGTATCTCTGTCGGCCAGCCTACGTCCAAAAGAAAAGGACAGAGCACTATGCTCTTCTACATTTTCTGACGTTCCACACAGGATTTGGACCAGCAATTTTCATATTATTGCTAGGGTCTAACTGTGGCTCCATTCATCATCAGTCTATATATATATATCACATTTTTTTTTAATGACTTACGTAAATCTTAAATGTTATTTTAGAATTTTAAAATATATGTAGAATTTCACAGTCATAAATTTATATTTGATTTACTAGACAAATATAAATATAAACATTTGCGGCATCAGAACTGCCATTTCATCTTCAATGCCAGAGCGACCGAATTTTCCATAGCTTCAGGCTTTGCTAATTGGGCAATTTTTTTTTGTCTTTCCTGTTCAACTATATTTTTATTCACAAGCTTTATTTTTTCCTCATTGCTCAGTTACTTCCCATCAACCAGGTGTTTTCATATTTCTTTTTATGTTTTTTTATGTTGCAGTCAGCATCTAGACGAGCAGGCACCTGTTGTGCCAACTGCCAGACTGGGACCACTACACTTTGGAGACGTAATGCCAATGGAGAACCCGTCTGTAATGCTTGTGGTCTGTACTACAAACTACACAATGTGAGTAAATGTTTACATGTCTAGACTTACCGTAACACTTTGTATATACAGACTACACCAAAATGAAGGACAGAATCACATTTCTGCTTACATATATGTTGAATTTCCACTTGTAAGGGGTTTATATATGTTGTTTGCATTAAATAATGATCTAGTTTGCACCTAAAATGGATTCTTTTTAATGTTGAATATGCTTGCATTCCATTTTTAAAACATTAAATAGCATAATTATTGTATAAATTGTTTATAGCGTGTATATCTGTGTTTGCGAATTCAGGTGAACCGTCCACTTACTATGAAGAAAGATGGGATCCAGACACGCAATAGAAAAATGTCGGGCAAACCTAAGAAGAGAAGAGGAGAACACTTTCAGCAATTTGACAGTTGTGTGCATGAGAAACCATCCACCTTCAGCCACATGGCTAACATGCCCCACCCCTTCAATATGACCCAACCAATCCAATTACATCCTGCATTCAGTCACAGCAGCTTAGTCACTGCTATAGGCTGAGAGACACTTGTAGAAGATACCATACTTAATGAACACATTAACTGCATTTTTCAGTTTTAATGTTCAGGTCAAGGACATTTTATTAATGTTTCAGACTTGGGTTCAAATGTTCATTATGCAAATCTCAAAATTCTATTCATTCTTGATTTAAAAGTTGCACTTTATTTTGTGGATTTCTGAAATGTGAATTAAACCAACCCAGAATCCAACTGTAGTACACCAAGAGTTTAATTAATTTGCCAGCTTTCCATTAATAATAAATATCCCCTATTTATTCAAATATAATCACAAGTACAAAAACGTTTATGTCATCTATAGCATTGCACTCTATCTTATGCAACTGTGAAGTACGAAGGAGAAGCCCTCCATTTTAAAAGTCATAATATAAACCAAATATTTAGGACTGTCCCTAAACCATTTGTAATTATATAACTATTTCTTTAATTTATTTTTTCTTTGTTCTTATTTTCAAGCTTTATATATGAACTAGTATCAACATCAATAGTATCAATTCATATTTTCTGTATACACATGCATTTAATACACGTTCAAACACTCAAAACACTTTTGTTTTATTGTGTACTCATTTTAAATTGTAGTTAATAAATGATTTAAACAGAATTTTTTTATGTGAGTTCTTGCCATACTTGTAAAAACATTATTAAATTGAGATGCTACAAACATATACAAACAATGCAAAAGTGTGGCCTTACACTCCTGTGCGCTTGCAAACACTTATCAGCATGCTGACTGGACACAAACAGTGAGTGAAGAGCAGGCCTCTAGAGAGACAAGAGGAAATGGAGAGATGAGATAAAGATGGAAGAGCAGAGAAAGTCTTCAGGGTTTGTTTTTAGGAGACCTGGAAAAGACCAGCCATCATTACTATTCCTGCTACTTTGTCAGTTGTACATTGTGTCTGGTGCTTAGATTCCAACAGTTAATAAATGATTTAAACCGAATTTTTTTATGTGAGTTCTTGCCATACTTGTAAAAACATTATTAAATTGAGATGCTACAAACATACAAACAATGCAAAAGTGTGGCCTTACACTCCTGTGCGCTTGCAAACACTTATCAGCATGCTGACTGGACACAAACAGTGAGTGAAGAGCAGGCCTCTAGAGAGACAAGAGGAAATGGAGAGATGAGATAAAGATGGAAGAGCAGAGAAAGTCTTCAGGGTTTGTTTTTAGGAGACCTGGAAAAGACCAGCCATCATTACTATTCCTGCTACTTTGTCAGTTGTACATTGTGTCTGGTGCTTAGATTCCAACATGTCACAAAAGTATGTGCAGCTTGCCAATAGCTCAGGCATCTTGTTTGAAATCACTTTCCTAAACTGTAATTCAGGAAATTATTGTACATAGCGGATTATTTAAAAGAAATGTAAATCCATATGACTAGGATGGTGCAATACATGACATGACCAGAAGCTATATGGCTTGATTGTATGAACTATAATTCATTACACTAACTGCACCGTAATATAAAACAAGACAAGTGAAGCACATATAAATTATTTTGACAATGTTGCAAGTAAAATAATAAAGTTGCACTGATTTATAGATTATGCATTTTATATACAAAACAAATCTAAAGAAAATATCGCAAAATTAAATGTATAAATACATTTGTTTTATATACTTATCAATTGATCTGATAAATCTTAATCGAAATCTAACTTAAGTAATGGTAAAAAATTTATAGCCTGAATGCACTGTAAGTCACTTTGGATAAAAGCGTCTGCTAAATTATAAATTATTATTAATTATTATTATTATTATTATTATAATGATCATCTTCTTAAGAGTGTGTTGCAAGGTTTGTATTATTTATTTTCTAGGCCAGAGTAAATACCCATGGGATATGAGATTATATCTAAAAAAGATTTTATCTCTGATTCTTCAGTTGTATTAGAACACTATCCTGTCTTTCTATATCCAATCAATCAATCAAAATTCAGCATTGCCATTTTAGGAATAAAAAATATTTTAAAATATATTAAAATAGAAAACAGTTATTTAAAATTGTACAATATTTTGATCAAATAAATGCAACCTTGTTAAAAAAAAAGAGACCTCTTTCAAAAACATCTTAATCTTACCAACCCTAAACTTTTGAACGCTAGTGTATATATAGCATAGTTTTACTGTATATATATATTTGTTAATAACATATGCATAGTATGTTTGTACAATCTGACCTAACAGATGTAGCTGTTTGCAAACATTCAGTCAGAAAACTGGGACACAACAGAACCCTCCCATATAACAGGCCAACCCACATTCAACCCCTTTCAGTCTGTCTTTTCTTTGCTTCTCCTAATCTTTCTGTATAGCAGGTAAATTAATTCATCCTCTGTCTCAGAACAATCACTTATTTTAAATGACAAACCAACTGTGAGCGCTCAGTTCCCCTCTCCAGGGACAGTTTGTGTGATGTGAGGTGGTGTATGTGTATTACTGCCATCCTCCTGGAACAGCGTAACAGATCTGCTTACTTCTCTTTCCCTCCTCTCTTTCTCCAATCTTTTATTTTCCCTGTCCTAGTGGTTTTGTCCTAAGAGAAACCTTAGAGGCAGGAAAGTAGGCCGGAGGCAGGAGGGGAGTCTAAATACACTGTTACAAGTTCTCTGGCTCAATAACAGTAAATATACAGACATACTTGTTAAATCAAGAGGTTATAATGATCAAATTATGCCATATATTGGAGGTCTGAACTCAATACAGAATATCTTATCTCAATGAACTAAACTAAAACTGCAAATGTTTACATGTCTAATGAAATACATTTTAAACAGAAATTAAGAAATAATATAAAGCCGTTTGCAGCAAATTTCAGTCAACCAAATTCACAAGCAAAATATTCTAGCAAACCACTATGGATAGTTTGTGCCAGAAGATTACAGAAAGAAAGTTTATTTTCTTAAAGAGAAACTCTATCATGTAGAGTTTCTTAAAGAGAAACTCTATAATAAAAAAGAATGGTAAATAAACATGATGGACGTCAAATAAACATGAAGCCAATGAGAAAGTTAAGTTGAAATGTGTAGACAAAGAGTTATAGATAGAGCTGTATAGAGAAGGAACAATGGCAAAAATGAAGCGGTGAAAATGAAAAAAAAGAGCAGGCCGGCTAAAGATTTAAGATAAGTTGGCTGACAGACAAATATTTGTAAAATATGCAGAAAGAGAAAGAAAGAGAAAGAAAGAGAGAGAGAGAAAGAGAGAAAGAAAGAACGAAAGAAAGAAAGAAAGAAAGAAAAAGGAAGATGATACAGATTTATAGAATCTACTGATATTTTTGAGAAACTAAATCACACACGAGCAAAATCTGGACACACTTTTTGAACAACACAAAGCCAGCTCTTTCAGTGAGCTGCTATTGTGTTTTTATTGTTCCGATTGAATAAACCCAAAGGCATATGGGTATAATAGGACTCACATTGCTACAGTAATCTGAGAGATGTATTGTGTGACAGCTGGGTCATTAGAACCTCAACTGTAATTAGTAAACATATTGAAACCCACACTATACACCCTACATGTGTACACATGCTACCCTTGGTATATATTATATAGTGTATATGTGACCCTGGACCACAAAACCAGACTTAAGTGTAACTTTTTCGAAAAATTGAGATTTATACATATAAATAAGCTTTCCATTGATGCATGGTTTGTTAGGATAGGACAATATTTGGCCAAGATACAACTATTTGAAAATCTGGAATCTGAGGGTGCAAAAAAATCTAAATATTGAGAAAATCGCCTTTAAAGTTGTCCAAATGAAGTTCTTAGCAATGCATATTACTAATCAAAAATTAAGTTTTGATATATTTATGGCAGAATGCAGATCCAGACGTTGCATATGCGCCAGAATAATATTTAGGTTTTTAGTGTACATTAAATGTGAAAAATGTGTAAGGATGGCAAAGGGGTTTAAATGGAGAGGTTGATAGATATTCTGCTCCATTATTGTAATGTATTGATGTTATCAAACTAATTCAAGCCATTAATGGACCATGGAACCACCATGGTCAAAAGCCTCTATACATCCATAAACACTCTCCACACACTATGTTTTATCCTCTTTTTTCCCATCCCACACTTACATTCAGGTAATTGTTTGTTTAGAGACTGTTTCTAATTTAATAGCTGTAATCTAATAGCTGGCTGTTTATCGTTCAAAGATAAGATGGAGGGCCTGCTAATTTTATTAGTCTCTTCAGTAAGGGATTTGGGAGGCTTTTACCGCCCTGCTAATTGGTCCAATGAGTCGGACAGTGGAAGAGCGCAACCTGAACTGTTCAAAACAGAATTACCTCTGTTACTTCCTTTCTTACGGTCTAGCAATTCATATTGAAGTGTCTGTCACTTGTGTCGACAAACTGATCAGAAAACATAAAATGACAGTTTGATGCACTCCTAAACAATTGCATGCAAACCTCAAAGGGCAAAGGTCACAATCTTTAGCCTTTAACACGTATTGGCGGCACACGTATAAAACAATGACTTTTGCATCTACCACATTAGATGGACTCATACTCTTATGTATGAAATGTATTATAATGTATTAAAATTTTATTTTAAGACTCATATGCATCGAATGATCTAGACAAACACATAGGCAGCACACAAAATACCTGTGTGACAAAGTTAAATTCTTCAGAAGACAGTAACAATCCTGCTGACCTGGAAGAAAAGTGCAGAACAAAGAAAAGGAAAACAAGAGAAAGGGAGGTGTGGGATAAAGGTTGTATGGACATAAAGGCCCAAACAAAGCAAACATAAAGAATAGGTGAGAGAGAACAAAGGGGTGACAGAGATAAAGTGCATTAAAGAAAGGATGGAAAGTGGGATAATGGACTGGAACAAAGCACCCTTTTGAATGAATGTGTTACATGACTGTGTTTTTTGTGGATGTGGACCTATACTATAAGAGTGTGTTACTTTATGACTCTGTGAAGACAACATTCTTCAGCACACAGGGAAACATGATATATATGTGTGTGAGTAAACAAGCAGTTTACAATATCTCAGCCTCAAATCCCTTCCATTGCAGGTTTTAATAAGACCTTAATAAAATAAGATGTAATTTAATTCCTGCAAAAGTGTTGAATCAAAAAGATTTTTTTTTAATGCTCTATATGTTCAAGTAGCTTGTGAGAGTGTATGAAATTTTAAAAGACTGTAAAATGCACTAAACTTTTGATTCACCCAGAGACTTGAGGAAATCTATAAAATGCAGGGACACTAGTTTACGTTCAGCTAAAAGCTCAGCTAAGGGAAATTATGTGATTAGTAGTACAGAGGTCTCTAGCAGTAACCCATTGATTTATAGAAGGATTGATGTTTTTTGCTCAAGTGATTGGTTCATTGAGAGCTTAAAACCTCCATGTAGAAAACGACTGATGCATTTTGACAAATGTGTGCCATTACAAATCAAGACAAAACGGGATGATTGTCAAGGCTTGCATGTCCATGATGCACTTACATCATCAAAAAGTAAAACACTAGCCTAAATGCTGACAATTCCATACATAATTTCCATAATTATGGTAAACGTACCTATTAAGCTCACCAAAATCTACATTGAGACATTTTTAGTGCACAAGATATTGGTTTCAGTATAAAAAGTTATGTTAAAATAAAATATTAATCTCTCACACAAAAAGATTTAATTTTATTTTAAATGACAAAAGCATTTCAATTAAGATATGCATCATTAAATGCAAAAAGTCTGGCTGTGCTTAATGGGTACATTTCTGTAACCTTTAAGCACACCCCTGTTCCCATTAAGCTCACATCATGTTTTATTAAAAATTCTTGCTTATTTTAAACAATCTTTTTAAAGAATAATTGAAAAATATATTTTTTGAAGGTACAAAGTCAATCACAAAAAAACAGAACACTAAAATCAAGCAACAAGGCATTCAATTTGATCAGTTATATATTCAGCAATGCACTAAACTTTTCATTCACCCAGAGACTTGAGTAAATCTATAAAATGCAGGGACACTAGTCTATGTTCAGCTAAAAGCTCAGCTAAGGGAAATTATGTGATTAGTAATACAGAGGTCTCTAGCAGTAGCCCATTGATTTATAGAAGGATTGATGTTTTTTGCTCAAGTGATTGATTCATTGAGAGCTTAAAACCTCTATGCAAAAAACGACTGATGCATTTTGACAAGTGTGTGCCATTACAAATCAAGACTAAACAGATGATTTTCATGGCTTGCATGTAATGCATCTCCATGACGTACTCCATGACGTACACTGAGGACTGAAAAATCCATACATAATTGTCATAATTAGCCAACCAAATTCAAGCAAATAATATATTTATATATAATGAATTATGAAATATGGATAATTTACAATAGGGTGAATTCAGGTAATTGGGACACTTCTGGAATTGAGATGACTGGGAAAAAAATGTCTCAATTATCCTACTATATAATACTAGAATATAACCCACACCTAACCCTAACAGAAAACAGAAAAGTTTTAACTTAATATAACATGTATAATGACTGGTCAGTTAATAGCTGGGCAACATGAAGACAACACTTGAGAATTTGTACCCACGTGTTTACATTTTCTGAACAAAACATGATTGCTGTCCTGTTGCTGTGGGGTTCTGGGTTTCTAGGGCGTTACTAGGGCGTTACTAGGTGGGAGCTGGTTACTTACCTACTGTCTTAAGTCAGTATAAAGTATAAAAGTATAAAGTATGCCAGTTCACCTCTAGTCTGGTCACATAGAAAAGTAATAGCTTAACTCTGTTCAGTTCACTTCACCATTTGAGTTATCCAGGTACACTTCATGTCTATAGCACAAATACTGAATGGAAGTAGCAAGGAAGTAGTTTCAATTTTTATTTATTTATTTATTAATTAAAAAAGAGAAACCGTAATTAAAACGAATAATGACTACGACTGGACTGACTCTGGGGATACTAATGCCCTCTACATGTGAGCCAGTGCTATTGCAGGGTCCACATGGACACTAAAAAGAGCGCGTTTAGGAGGGAGAGAAAATACTCTGTAAGGAAACAATCCATGCGATCAAAGAAAATAATTAAAAACGTACACACACAAACGCCAACTGCCCGTGCTGATGAAGCTGATAATGTTAATGTTAGTGGTAAGTCAAACACAGAGCGTGACTTTATCCCTCTTTGGGCTCATCTCAAGATCAGTGCAGGTCCAGGGTCAGGAAGGAGACAAATCTGCAGCTTCTACCTCATGGGAGAGTTTGTTTTTATTTCCTTTTTTCTCTATTCCCTTTTTCAGTCCCTCTTTTTCAATTTATGAATTTTAAACAGGCACTCTGAAAGACCTTTCTGATGAAGGACCCTGATTAGAGAGGTTAACAGACTCAAGCTGTCATATCAAAGGCTTATACATGCATGCACTCACACAGAAAATAAAAGACTGAGATTCCTATCTGAGTCACTGAAAGGAAAAGGACAGTAAAAGACTGTGTGTGTGTTGTGTTTAAAGATCTTGAGTCAATGTCACAAACACTGAGCAGGCCGAACATGGCATGAAAGCCATGTTGTGTTAGACTCACACAGAGTTCTTATGCCTGCAGCATTTAACTGAGTGTTCTGTCTCTTTCCTGCTGTAATTAATCAGAGTAAATTGCTTCATTAATATTAATACACAGTAAAACACACACATACAATGAACTTCTGATCCGTACAAAGGAGAAATGAGCGGTCAATCAGTCAGCAGACTGCATCAAGCCATTTTTACGGGATATATCTCCGTTCAAAAGTTTGGGGTCAGTAAAAATGAAAATTCTAAATTCAGTCATTTACTCTCTCTCATGTTGTTCGAGACCTGTATTATTTTCTTTATTCTGTGCAACACTACACATTTAGAGATTCCTTATGAGGTTAAGTCAAAGCTGAGTAGTCAAAGGTTCCATACAAACATATAAAAAAAAAACTTTAATGTCAGTTAGCTCAACACATCTTCCTTTTAGAGTAATGTGATGCTGTAAATCAGTCCATGACAGCACATTTGCGAGTCAAAGAAAGTGCGTAAGCGAATGAGTGATAGACAGTTACCTATGTATGCACTTCTTAAAAAAAGTCCAGTTAATGGCAATTATAATGAAAAACAAATAAAGGCTTTGTTTTTACCTGTGGTGTCAGGTACAAACAGGAAGTATAACAACACAGATGGCATTTAATATTTTAGTACAGGTGCTATTTGTATACTCGCATATTAAGAAAAAATTTGCCTACAGATTCCCCGAAGTTGCCACAACGTAACTGGAATAGATATTCAAATCTTTGAAGCAAATCAATGAACAATGATAAGACCTACTGTGGCCCTTATTAAGGTTTGTTTTTGTTTTTTAACCACTCTCATCTGCATCTGCACAAAAAACAAACAAACATACATACATACATGTATACATAAACAGTGGAACAAAAATATGGAAAAAATGATATTTATAAATGTAACTGACGGTGGGGTGTGTGGAAACACATTTTGCCCATGATTTGCCAACAGAAATATTTGCCTATACTCACAATGTGTTTTGCCCTAAAGCAACGTCCCAACCACTCTTGATACGGCAAACTCAAAGATACAAACACTTTTTCACACTCTTGCAAACAAAATGTAAATCACAAAATACAGTGCACTGCAACTACAGCAGTTTAGCTAATAGAGTTGTTTTACTAGCAGTCATATAACAGAATGTATTAAAGGGGTCATATGATGCTGCTAAAAAGAACATTATTTTGTGTATTTGGTGTAATGAAATGTGTTTATGCGGTTTAAAGTTAAAAAAACACATTATTTACGAGGAAAGAAGGCTTGGGCCTTCAATAACTGAACACAAAAAGAGACACCTTTAAAACATGATCCACACCTTTCAAAATACAGTAATGTCCAAAAATGTTAGACCTAAAACCACCCTTTTGCTTTAATGACAACATTCACTTAAGCTAGTATACACTCCACAAGTTTATGTGCAAAACCTGATTAACATTACCCAGGATTTAATAATCCTCCATTGTATGTATTAATGAAAAAAAGGAAATCTTTTGTAATGATCTTTTGAATGAATGAATGATGCATTTATATAGCACTTTATTGTGTATTGTTGTACACCCAAAGTTGTATTCCAGTGATGGCAAAGCTGAATTTTCAGTCATTACTCCAGTCTTCAGTGTCACATGATCCTTCCCGAAATTATTTTTAATATGCTGATTTGGCACTCAAGACACATTTGTTATTATTATCAATATTGAAAAGAGTTGTGCCACTATTTGCCAATTTTTGTGTAAATGGTGATACTATGAATAGTAAGTTCAAAAGAACAGCATTTATTTGAAATGGAAATCTTTTCTAACATTATAAATGTATATTTACTGTCACCTTTGATCAATTCAATGCAATGCAAAAGTACATTTCCTTAAAAAAAAAATCTTACTCACTTTATTTAGGCATTTTCAAAGTCCTAAAATGTTATGCTCGTTTCCATATTTATAAAAATATACAATTTAAAAGTGGTCTCAGATTTTTGAACCTTGAATCTGTGCTACTGACAGCACACCCACTAACTCACATCTATGAGTTCAGTTATTCCTTGTGGCTCGTCTGTTTCTGGGGCCTCAGGACCACCTGGCTTTGCTGCCACAGCAATAATAGGGCAGCCTTTAAATCTGACAAGCAAAGAGTCAAGTCAATTTCTTTTGTATAGCACAATAAACATTGTTTCAAAGCATTTTTATAGAAACTCATGATGGTATGTGACATAGGTTACATTTTGCGACAGTATAAACAATTAAGCAGTTTAGATTTGTTATATACGCTCACACTATAAAACAAATCTGTGAAATTTACTTAAAAAAAAACAGCAGCTGCTGCGAGAACTTAAGTTTAAAAAAGGTAGCAATTGACATTTTTTCCACTGTAAATTATAAGATGACTTGTTCTTTTTCACTTCCAAAAACTGTAAATTTAACAGTATTGAGATGTCGCATTAGATTTATTGCAGTTTTTCACCATATACCTCCTGGTTAACCAGTTAACGGGTTTTACCGTAGCACTTGTAGTCTTTTAGCATTAAAATTACAATCATTTCTTACAGTCTGAACACATGGCAAAATGTGTAATATGTATAATATACAGGTAAACGTGCTTGACAGTGTCTACCTTGTGTTCTCAAGAGTTTTGTGCATCCTCTTGGTCATTTTGTCAATAGCCGCCTGTCTCTTGTCATTAGGCAACAGGTCTGTTTTGTTGAGGATGACGATCATACGGGAGCAGGTGAGCTGACCAATCAAAAGGCACTCTGCTGTTTGTGTCTGCATACCTTTCACAACGTCAACCACCAACATCATCAGATCAATGATCTGAGCACCTGAATGCAAGTATACAGATGAGAGTAAAACATACAACTTCAACAATGACAAACATGTCAAAGTACAGTCATCACTGCTAGACAGTATTACAGAAAAAGAGACAGAGAATAAGAGAAGTAGGAGACTGGGCTATTGCCTTTCCTTTCCCTCTTTTTCTCTCCCTCTCTCTGGCACTCATTCTTTCCTGAGATCCCCTCTGGGGGGAGAGAGGAAGTCAAGCTGGAACCCCGAACAGCCCCTTTCCGCCTTAATCAACCACATGTGCCATAAATGCACACACACACACCAATGCCATCAATGCAATTACACTAGACATTCCCACTACACTGAGAGTTCTTTGGGTTTGTTTGGTCCTGAAGGTTAACAAAAACCCTCTAGACATGGTTTCTCATCATCTATTTCTTCATACATCCCTCCGTGAAAATAATACCTATGAGACAATACCTTGTGTATGCAAGAAAACAAGCCATCTGAGCTTTTAGTATAGAGGAATATCGATGTATTGCATGTAGCCTATTGTGCCCATAACTACCTATTAAGTTAAAGGGGTCATATGATGCGATTTCAAGTCTTCCTTTCTCTTTGGAGTGTTACAAGCTGTTTGTGAATAGATAAGATCCCTAAAGTTGTCTCTAAAGTTGTTTAAAGTCTCAAACCCAAAGAGATATTCTTTATAAAAGATAAGACTCGTCCACGGCACGAAATAATGTTCTTTTTAGCAACATCATATGACCCCTTTAACAAATATATGTAAATGTACTGTAAAATGTATTATGTATGTTTTCAGTTTTTCCTATTTCCAAATTTCACATTTATTTAAAAGTTACTTGCCATTTCTTTGTAATTATTTGTGAAATTTGCAATTTGTGAGTGAAATATTTTTTCAGTGTTTCAAAGGAAGTGCATTAAATGACAGAATCTGATATGATAACATGTTGACAAAATGCTATTCTTTGTTGTAACTGTAAAAGGTGTTCTAATGCTAAATGCATTTTTTTTTGTACTATTACAAGTCTGCCATTAAAAGCAGATACAGTATGTCTTTTAATTTGAGAGCGTGTTTTAAATCTATAAAGCCTACAGTATCATATTTGAAACTTGAATTTTTCTCTAAATGATCAGCATTATTAAAGCTTATTATGAAAATTCTGTTGTACATTGACATGCTTTTTAAACTCTAATTGATAGTTCATACTATATTAGTGAATAAAAGGCCTTTTAGTATAATTCTAAAAAAATAATAATAATAAAATAAAAATTCCACCTTCAGGTCATAGTACACGTCTTTTTGCCATGTGTCTTTTATCTTTAATGATTTTTATAAAGAGAATATAAGAATAACTTTTATATTGTTATTAATATTCAATATTTATATTAATATTAACATTTACTGAACTGAAATGTAGGATTACTCAATTTTTCCATGCATCATTGTTTAGAAAAATATTTTTTTTGAGGAACTAACACATCTTAATCATCATTGTATTGCATTACATTTTATGTTTCGCCCCCACAATTAAGACTACCGAGCTTTGATCATAAAACAAAGCGTACAATATCATCTAACTAAAGACATACTATTGAGAGATATATTTATATGCATTTTAAGTAAGCGATCTGTTATAGCCTACTGTAATAAAAATATAATTAATTTACATTATATCAGAATTTCATCTTACCTTTTGGCCACATAAATAACAACATCTGCATCAAACTGCATATTTTTTGCTCAATATGGGCCTGACTAAAACTGATGTGTTTTTTCATCTTTGAGTGTGTGCACCATATGTGACCCTGGATCACAAAACCAGTCTTAAGTTGCACGGGTATATTACTTAAGACTGGTTTTGGGGTCCTGGGTCACATATTCTCCATATTCATTTTATACTATATGAGACATATCATAGATAAAAACCTGATGTATCAAATATGATACAAACATAAAGCACATATGCACATTTGTAAGATTTTCTTTTATATTTTGTATAAATGTTCAACTAACTTTTATCATACGTCAGTCTTTACAGGGTTAATATGACCTCTTCAAATACTACACACACACACCACCTACTGATCAAAAGTGGTAATGCTTGACAGTTTAAAATGCACTGACAGGTTGCTATTCTTGAATTAGCTTATTATAACACTCATAATTGGAATTAAAAGACGTTACTAGTGCGTAGTGAATTATATGAAATATATATTGATTCACGCAAGCATGCAAACCATGCAGTTTGCCACCATGGATTTAATCAAACCTACCAATAAAAAACAACTAATTTACCGACTTACCCCCAATAATAGTGCGTATGAGAGAGGCATGTCCCGGGCAGTCCACCAGTGTGAACTGCAGACTGTCGTATTGTCTTTCCCCGCAGGACTCTTTCAGGTGCTCCGGTAACGGCACCGTAAACGCACTAAAGCCAAGATCCAGTGTGATGCCTCGTTCCTTGGACTGCGGGTTCTTGTCGAAGGCTGCGGTGGATGCGGTGCTGCTCAGCGCACGGGCGAGAGACGTTTTCCCGCTGTCCACATGGCCGAGGACACCGACGTTAAAGTTCAGAGTTTTAGGAGGACTGAGATCTGCCATCACTGGAGCAGCACGACTGTTTGGTAACAGAATAAATGCGTAGACTTTGAACTGCTGACAGCAACAACGCTGCTGGTTCAAACCAACCAGCTCAATATTAAACTGTCAGTTAACCAAGTGTCTCTTATTTGGGCGGAATTCAGTAATATCCGCTTATTAGTTAGGATATGAGAGATTGAATTACATTCTAAATATTTCTGCTCTTACTGTATTCAGCAAACTTTTCTGAAATTTGACAGTTCTTCATGTGTGCTGCAACAAAACTATCCCTGATATAACAACAACTCATCTCATGGGTTCCTCTTCACAGCATTTGTTTCAGAAAAAAAACATGCTTCATGGGTCAAATAATTTATTAACAAGTAAATATATTTAAATTATTTACAGCACAATTGGAAGTATATTTACACTTCACACGGAAGAAAATGTTTGTGGAACCCACAGCGGTCGTCTTTGTTCCAGTACAACACTTTAAATGGCACACAAACGGAAAATATGGGCGTATTCACAATGATCAGACGGACAACACCGATATCCAATGATTAAACAGAGATTCCACAAATTGACCAATCGTTGCAAAGAACGACTAAAAAACGTTTCCAGGGCGGTACTTCCTCAAATCGCCTTGGTTACCCACATGGAAACGCGGGTCTCTTGTGTTTGATTTCAACGGCCTTTCGTGTAATAGGCTTGAGGTTATTTTTCTCATTTTTAGAGTGTTTAATGAGCTAACAAGAAACATGAAGATCGAAGAGGTAAAAAGCACAACAAAGACGCAGCGCATCGCTTCTCACAGCCATGTAAAGGGTCTCGGGCTGGACGAGGCCGGGAATGCTAAACAGTCCGCGTCAGGACTAGTGGGGCAGGAGACAGCAAGAGAGGTAGAGATCCATTTCATGTTTTGCCAGTTTGTTAATAAATGCAGAATGATTACAGTGAATATTATAGGACCATTTGTATTTACCTAATTGTTTGTGAAGAACGAATACAAAACGTCTAATAAAAGATATGTGTCAGGATTCACCAAGAGTACGTTATATTACTGTGGTTATCACAGATCCTGGTTTTGGAGACTTTAAATATTTTAACATTTTCTGTAGTTTAGCCACTTTGTATTATTATAGTATTAGTTTATAAAGAACATGTTGCATTTAAAGAAAATGGTAAATATAAACATTTCCTATATTCTTACCTTTTTTATTAGGCTTGTGGCATCATCGTAGAGCTGATTCGTTTAAAAAAGATGGCTGGCAGGGCCGTTTTACTGGCCGGACCACCTGGAACAGGCAAGGTAAGGGCCGACAAGCTTTATTGTATCAGTCATTGTAAATAGTTTCAGAGATGTCCTTTGTGAAAGTGTTTATGATTTGATAATTGAATTTCTGTACCCTGCAGACTGCTCTAGCACTAGCCATGGCTCAGGAATTGGGAAATAAAGTGCCATTCTGTCCTATGGTGGGCAGTGAAGTGTATTCAACAGAAATCAAGAAGACTGAGGTGCTGATGGAGAACTTCAGAAGAGCAATCGGTGAGCACTCACGCAAAGAACCCATGTCTGTGCACCATGACCTGTAAAAATGCTATACGATTGTGAACGTTTATTCATTTTTTAAGAGATATGTTTAGTAATAAAGGTAAAAATCTGATTAGAAACCGTGAAAAAACATATTCTACTACATTTGGACTTGTCCTTCTACTAGATAGTAAATAACTCCCCATGCACACACACACACACTCACTGTAGCCTGATATTAGACCACCAATATGACTCAAACAATGTCGACAGTGTGATCAAGTGAGATATGCATGCATGCATGCATGCACACATTATTACAGTGCTGACAGAAAAATACAGAAAAAACACACACAGGTGAATAGATTCACTGGAATTTAATTTATAATGAATTCTGTAGGTTTTTAAAAGCGTATTGGTAGATCCGCTAATATTATATATCTTAGCAGTTATGGTTTCTGTACATTCTCGTACCTAAAATTATTCTGTTTTGATTGTGCAGGTCTGCGTATCAAGGAGACTAAAGAGGTGTATGAGGGAGAGGTCACTGAACTGACTCCTTCTGAGACGGAGAACCCAATGGGAGGCTACGGCAAAACTGTCAGTCATGTCATTATCGGTTTGAAGACCGCAAAAGGCACCAAACAGTTGAAAGTAAGGAAGTGAAAGCGTTTTTTTTCACTTGCATACTTATATTTCAAAGATAAGGAGCTGAATGGAAGCTGATTTTGTGTCTGTTTGAAGTTAAAAGTTTTATCTCATAGCATTTGTTATGCTCATGCAGCTGGATCCCAGTATCTATGAAAGTCTGCAGAAGGAGAGAGTGGAGGTCGGTGATGTTATCTACATCGAAGCGAACAGTGGGTCAGTCAAGGTAAGGACGAATTTGCTTAACCATTCTCTCTCCTGCCTATATCTGCTGTTGGCGTGTTGAAGTAATCTTTTGTCAGTGCAGGTGGGCAGGTAGTCTGGCAGCGGTATAAAGGACAATATTGTCTTTCCTATTTTTGACAGAAATTAATACTTTTATTAAGCAAGAATGTATTAATTTGATCAAAAGTGACAGTTAAGACATTCATTATGTTACAAAATATATTAATATTACAAATATAATATAATGTTACAAATTCTGTTCTTTTGAACTTTATATTTTTTAAAGGATTATGGAAAAAAACAACAATTTGCACAAAAATATTAAGCAGCACAACTGTTTGCAGGAATAAGCTTAATGTTTAAAATATATTCAAATAGAAGACATTTTTTAACTGTCACTGTTTCTTTTATTGTATTTTTGATCAAATAAATGCAGACTTGGTCAGCGTAATAGATTTCTTTCAAAAACATTTTGAACAGTGGTGTACACACATACACTTGCACTTCACATAAAGTACAATACGCTTCTCTTGAAAATAAACTGACTCCATTTAATGCTCCCAAAATCTCTCAAGGCTTTTATCAAATTCATTCATAATCTGTCTTTCTGTTTTTTGGTCTGCAGAGGCAGGGACGATGTGACACATTTGCAACAGAGTTCGATTTGGAGGCGGAAGAGTACGTACCTCTACCGAAAGGTGATGTACACAAAAAGAAAGAGATTATTCAGGATGTTACACTTCATGACCTGGATGTTGCTAATGCAAGACCTCAGGTACTGTATGTGCACACAAACATCACGTTTTCCAGCATTTCAAGTGGACCTCCATAATGCTAATCATATGAGCATACTGTGTTTTCCAGGGAGGCCAGGACATACTTTCTATGATGGGTCAACTGATAAAACCCAAAAAGACAGAAATCACAGGTAACATAGTTTATATACTGATGACCATAATAGGATTTTTAACGAAACCATGTTTAAAGGGGTCATATGATGTTGCTAAAAAGAACATTATTTTGTGTATTTGGTGTAATGAAATGTGTTTATGCGGTTTAAGGTTCAAAAAACACATTATTTTCCACATACTGTACATTATTTGTGTGTATTCTGTATGCAGATAAACTGCGAGGGGAGATCAATAAGGTGGTGAACAAGTACATTGATCAGGGTGTGGCAGAGCTGGTTCCTGGTGTTTTGTTCATTGATGAAGTTCACATGCTGGACATTGAGTGTTTTACCTACCTGCACCGAGCACTGGAGAGCTCCATCGCTCCCATCGTAGTGTTTGCATCCAATAGAGGAAACTGCCTCATCAGGTGTGTTTTTGATACAGTGGGAAATGTAGTAAATTAACTTAGCTTTGTCGCAGTTTTATATTTAGTATAATTGTAGGATATTTTGGTAACAATTTTACAGGTTCAATTAGTTAACATGGTTAATGCTAGTTAATAGAAATACAGCTGGTCATTGTTAGTGCTTAAATAATAGGAACAATGTTTGATTTTAATGTATTAGTGAATGTTAAAATTAAGAATAACAAATGCTTTTTTTCATATGTTAGTTCATGTTAAAGGAGACATATTATGCCCCTTTTTACAATATGTAATATAAGTCTCTGGTGTCCCCAGAATGTGTCTGTGAAGTTTCAGCTCAAAATACCACACAGATAATTTATTATATCATTTTGAAAATGCCTATTTTGAGTGGAAGCTGAAACACGCAGTTTTTCGTGCCTGTCTCTTTAAATGCAGATGAGCTGCTATTTTACTGCTAAATTACAGCTCGTACCTGCTAAAAACATCTGTTTTGTTTCTGATTATCATGTTTATCGTGCTGAAATCATGTGTTTTAAACCATATTAGTTTAAACTTCTGAAATATGGTTTTCTGAGTGCACATGGACAGAAAGCGGCTGTCACAGCATGTGAGTAATAAACTAAGTTCTCATTCACACACAAGTTTACATTAAAAACACACACGAGTTACAAAAACAGTCGCTCCTCTGAGGCCTGGGTCTAACAAGGACGAAGCCACAAAATAGTTTCAAGTTAATATTACTAATTGCAATTCATATCTGACACATAGAACTACCAAAAACAAACATAGTGATTCTCATTTCTGATGATCTAAGTTTCTGTTTAGATGTTAAAATTAAAGGAGACATATTATGCCCCTTTTTACAATATGTAATATAAGTCTCTGGTGTCCCCAGAATGTGTCTGTGAAGTTTCAGCTCAAAATACTCCACAGATCATTTATAATATTATTTTGAAAATGCCTATTTTGAGTGGAAGCAGAAACACGCTGTTTTTCGTGCCTGTTTCTTTAAATGCAAATGAGCTGCTGCTCCCCGCCCCATTTTCCAGAATTGAGCTGCGCCATTCAGCTCGTATCTGCTAAAAACATCTGTTTTGGTTCTGATTATCATGTTTATCGCGCTGAAATCATGCGTTTTAAACCATATTAATTTAAACTTCTTATATATGGTTTTCTGAGTGCACACGTCCGAAGCACACGGACAGAAAGCGGCTGTCACGCGGCATGTGAGTACTAAACTAAGTTCTCTTTCACACAGAAGTTTACGTTAAAAACACACGAGTTATAAAAAACAGTTGGTTATGTCTGTGAAGGTAAACAGCTGGAAAATAAATCACATGTTTTTTTTAGATCTGTGTGGCAGCAGCAATATACATTAAATCAATTAATAAATCCACTGATCTCTTGTCTCCTCTGAGGCTGGGACTGTAAATAGTGTTCTGTGCTCGTCTGTGCAGCCAAACACAGAACAGTTAGCATGCTTCGCTCAAACTTTCATCATGGCATTAGAGCTAGCGCACCGCTGTCGCTTGCAAATCAAAATGATGGTGCCGTGGGTGGAAACTT